TTTTTCCTATAATAAAACTGGCTTAAAATAAATTTTAATAATTATAAAATCTCCAGTGGATTTTTCATTTTAGAATTCAGAAAGTATAAGTAAGTATCTTAGCAAACTATTCTTAATTATAAACTATTATCAAGTATTGAGTTGGATGTATTTAATAGACCCAAAATGAAAATCAAACTCACATGTTCAACATTAGATCCGTTGCCGGACACGGAAAAAGACAAAAAAATAAATAAATAAATAAATAAAATAAAATAAATAAATAAATAAATAAATAAAATAAAAAAAAAATAAAAAATTTACACATACAGGAAAATTTAATGACATTGGAAAATTTTATGATACAGGTGATAAAGTAGGTTATAAAACATCATACACGTTGTTATTTATGAATGATTACACATAGTATGTTATAGCTTTCCAAAGGAGTATTAAGTACATTTTAAAAAATTTACACATACAGGAAATTTTAATGACATTGGAAAATTTTATGATACAGGTGATAAAGTAGGTTATAAAACAGCATACACGTTGTTATTTTGAGAATGTAAGAATATCTAGAAAAAAGAGTGAAGTAAAATACATCCAAAAATTAATAATAGTTGATTTAGTGTGGTGGAAGTAAACATAATTTTTTTCTGTTTATTCTTTTCTCTACTTTTATCTTTTCTAATGTGCACAGATTCTTTTTTGATAATGATAAGAACATAATAAAGTTAACATGTTATAAAAACTAGCAAGTTGGATATCAAAATGCAATGAAATCAGTATGTTAGAACATGCTGGTCCTTATACAGACACGTGAGAATTTTGTTGGGAGAGAATGATTACCTGAAAACAAGAGCTACATTAAATGTGATAAAAAGGATGAAAGCTTTTCAGGTTATTATCCTTTTTACCAAAGTTTGTGATATGTATATGGTACGTATATATCAAGAACTTTGTGAGGTCTGTCACCTCTACCAAGCCATAACATAGCACTTATTTATTACTGACATAACAATTTAACAAGAAATATTGGAAAGTTCATCCAAGTGAGCAGAAAGGAAAAAAGAAGATTTTAAATATAAGTGTACTTCAAAAAGTTCATAGAAAGATTCATATTATCTTTCAATTCTATTTTTCCATGAACTTTCTGAAGTACCCTCATATGCCTGCTTTCCTGGGGAATGGTTACTAACATGTATCTTTTTATCCTCTGTAGTGATCGCTATATAGTTTAGAGCCCATCTGTTCCAATACAGTCAATACCCCTCTATTTGAGTGCCAATTAGTTGCCTTCAATTAACCACCTTCATTTGTAATAGTCTGAAGAGGAGAGTTCCTGAATCTGGGAATTAGATAACTTACAGCTATGCTTCCTGCAGAAAGCAGACCTTATATGTCCTCTAAGAGGGAGACAGTCTCCTTTAAATATCCATTAGAGGTACTACTACTAACTATCACACTCAGCATTCCCAAGTTCTAAAAGCAGTGGCAGAGGAGGATTAAACACACATAATGCAAGCAGCTTGGTCTATGAGCAGTCAGTATGTCATTATCCTTCAACAAAACTGTTTCTATTAAATTTTTTTTGTTTACAGATTTTAGGATTTAGTATTTCTCATTTCAAAGAGTAACTATTATATAAAACCACAGTGCATTTAACTGATTTAATGAAATTTAATTCCTTACTTTAAATCTTAAGAGGAGAAATCTTCTTTGAAAAAAATCTTTGTTAGCAGGGCATATAAGTAAAGGCCTGGTCTGTAGTAAGACTGATGATCATGACTTGTGTTATTATATGAAACTAGAGCAGTCAAAAGTAACTGCTTTCAGAATAATAACTATTGCCATTTTGGGTAAAATTTGAGGTTTTCATCAGAGTAAAATCATGTCTGACATCCATATCATAAAGCTTAAATGCAAACAAAAATGATTAATCATATTCATAAATATGCAAACTTATACTCAAACTGTGATTTTAAAAAGGTGTTACATTTGAGACAAAATGGCAAAAACAGAATTTTTTTAATTGCCAAGAATTTTATGTAGTAAGTTTGTTTATTCAGTACCACAATCATAAAATAGGAATATTACATTCACAGAAATGGAATTAAAGAGCATAATATTATTTGAAAACAGAAAAACAATGGGATCACTACCAAGAGCCTCACATTTAATTTACAATGCTACTTTTTCATGACTAATAGAATTAACATGTGGTTTTTCTGTGATTAAAAAACAATCATGGTACCTGAGTATTACACACATTCATTGCATATGACAGACACTATTATAAAGATGTACCATCCTAATTACTTAAGCGATTGTTTCAGCTCATTTAACACCTTGTCTAAATAGCTTTACGATGTATAAAAGGAAATAACTGCATATACTTAAGGATGAAATTTTCTGGTATTTGATTATTGAAATATATATTTACCCTTTAAATTAGAGCACTAACTGCTTAATACGTAAAAGTAGTTTGAAATCATGACTCTTTGCTAAACATAAACTCCAACACCTCTCATGAGACATCTCAACATCAAAAATGACTTTAAAAAACTAGTTTGGGGGCGAATCACCAATACATCAGAAACATAGCCAAAACATGGAGTTTGACTTCAAAGACTGAATTCAGAATATGAACCAACTATTTTTGTACATTATATTAATAAGTTGGTTCTTTGTTCAAAATCTTAAACATAAATGATATTAACAATATGCATGCATGAAACCTAATTAAAATGGTACTTCCGGGAAATTATTGCTTAACCTACAGGAAAAATATTACTGCCTGGGACTTACATTGTGGTCCTGCATTAACAGTTTTTGAATTCCCTAGCTTTTGGCGATACTTTGGAATCTTTTGTGTTTTCTATTCAGATATTTCAGACAGCTGCAAAATTTGAGAGGACACTCAACAAAATAAAACTCTCACTTGGATAGTAAAATATATTAATTCTAACATTATATAAATAGAACAAATCTGATTCATTTATTGGGCAAGTGCCACATTCTGAACCATTCAACTCAAATTAAATTCAACTCTGTGGCAAACAACCTATTTTCTCATTAAGCAATCAATGTTACCTTCAATAAGGCAATTCCCATTTAGCCTTTGGCCAAAGCAGTTTTCTTTGAAACAAAGTTCTAAATCTGTAGATAATGTAAAAAGATATGATCTCCTTGGTAGGTGGTTAAGGAAATCTGTGATAGAGATACAGGTTAAAGAGACTATGAGTTCTTAAGAAGTCTTATCTAATTAACTGAGCTCTCCCTTCCCATATTCAGTGATCTAAGAAACTGAAATTTAAATGGAAAAATGAATCTGTGAACTTAAAGGTATAAAATTCTGCAATGCTTCTCAGACTTTTCATTTTTATTTCCAGAATAGGAAATGATTACAAAATATTACTGGTTTTTAGAGGAAAGTAGATTTACAAGCATTTATACTTCTAAAACTCTTTACAGTGCTCATTAATGCTTACCAGTAAATAGTAAGAACATTACATTCATTTAAATATGCAAATTAAACTGGAAAACCTCTAAACATATGCATCACCAACCAGTAAAGCACAATGTAACACAAAAGAAAAGAAATATACTTCATATACAGGTTAATAAAAGCATTTTTAGTAAAAAAATCTATCATTTTTATAAAAAAGCTTTCCCTTTTAAACATCGTTACTCAACAAGCACATTCAAAATACTAACAATAAATGCCTTTGCAATTTCAAGTGAAAGCCACTACGTTTTCCTTGGGAATACTGTTTTCAGTCATCTTTTTTGCCTGAGGTACTCTCTTCATGATTTTCAGGACTGACTACATTACTTGCGACGGAGGATCTTGTCTGGACTTCTTTTGGTAATGAAAACACATGGGACGTCTGGAGGTCTAAGTATGTTGTAAATATCTTAGCATATTCTGGATGCTTTATGGCAAACCTTTTAAATTCCTCTAGAAGAGGAGAAAAAAAATCCAATAAATTGTGGTGAATCTTTTTTTGGCATGATGCAGATAAAGAAATAATCTTAACAATACAATTACTGAAAAATTGCATCATTCAACTCACAAACATTGCTGGTGAGAATATAAATACACACCCACTTTGGAAGATATTTCCATTATCTAGTTAGGTTGTAGATAAACACACTGTATGACCCATTAATTCTATTCTGAGGTATTTGTGCATGTATTCTAAGAGACACGTTTGAGAATGTTCATAGTAACATTATTCATAACAGATAAAGAAAAGGAGTGAAAAAATAAATTGTGGCATATTCATGGAACATGATGCTATATGCAATGAAAATAAATAAACAGCTGTGAGGCAACAATATGAATGAATCTTTTAGTCATAATGTTGAATGAAAAAATCAGATACAAAATAATATATATTGTATGAGTCCATTTATATAAAGTTCAAAAATTTAGACAAAGCTAAAATGATGCTATATGCAATGAAAATAAATAAACAGCTGTGAGGCAACAATATGAATGAATCTTTTAGCCATAATGTTGAATGAAAAAATCAGATACAAAATAATATATATTGTATGAGTCCATTTATATAAAGTTCAAAAATTTAGACAAAGCTAAAATGCAATATTTAAAAATGCATACTTTTCTGGTGAAGTGCTAAAGTAAAGCAAGGCAGAGATTCTTTTTAAGTCAGGATAGCAGTCCATTCCTTTAAGAGGAAGGGGCTATGGTTGGGGAGGGGCATGCAGGGGTTTCTGAGGTTCTGAAAAAGCTCTATTTCTTGACCCGAATGGTAGTTACATAGGTATTCACTATATAAAACTTCATTGTGCTCTATGTTTATGTTTTATTCAGTTTTCTGTATTTTTGTTATCTTAAGCAATAAAAAAAATATGTTAAAAAAAGGATTTAACCTAATGCCCTATTTGCTACCCATCTACTTTTTAAAAATTGTCTAATAGGCAGGAGTCTGCATCATGGCACATTAGACTACCTAACAATTCTTGAAATAGGTCTTAGTGATGAGGAAGTCACCATATAGAGCCCAAATCATTCTTTGCAATTGTAATATTATTTTGCATTAGTAGATCACTTTATATTTCCAATCAGGCAAGCTATTAATTGTTATTTCTTAACATCCAAAATAAAGTTTTATCTGCATGAGTCTACTTCAATGATGGAGACCCTGAGGACTTAAGTGACTTCTACAATAAGTAAACCTGATAGATGATCTACTGAAACCAAGAAGTTTGATTTCAAGACTTGTGTTCTGTTCAAAAGATCAAGATCCTCTGTTAGGATGTCAGTGGCATTAGAGTAACTCATTTCTAGAAGTTCTGTGAATTGGCTATAAGTGAAATTTGGGCATTAATTTGTCCAATGGAAAGCCAAGATTAAAACCAATTGAAAAATCATATTTAAATGGTCACATTCATGATACATGTCAATAACTATTTTTTAAATAAAACTATACCTAAATACCTCAAACATTCCTGCAAAAAAAGTGGACTCACATAACATTGGGGAAGGGGAGATAATGTGTGTATCTGAAAATGAAAAGGTTGAACTCCAAAAAACAAAGCAGATTTCCCTAAAAAATTATTTAAATTGGCAGGTAAAATTATGGTTACCTACAAATAATTTTGAGTATTAGCTTCTATTGAAATAGGTATTCCAAATGGTTTTTCAAAATTTCGTAGTTCAGAGTAATAGAGACTCTTACTTATGAAAGGAAAATGATCAGAGAAGAATCAGCACACATAGGTTTATGACTCTAGTTTTATCTCAGTATATATACTTCCCCATTTTATCCTTTCTATTTAAAAAAAAAATGAACTTAATAGATTAAGAGCCCTGGGTACTTATTACTTAAAATAGAATACAAGACAGCCAAAATGATAGTAATCAAAAACAGAGAGTAAGAGAAGTATGTGATCTACTTTCCTCATCTCATGAAAGTTAACATGCTGAAACTCTTTAAACACTATAAGGAAAAAGTAATTTAAGAGGAACCCCCTCCAGTCTGACAGGAAAGACTGGAGAAGATAAGCCAGCCTACCATCTATGACGACTACATCAAAGGTAAGACAGGGAAACAATCACCTACACCTCCCCACTGAGGAGTGTGTCTCCATGACTGCACTATGAAATACAGGGTACTGATTTACCATCCTTCAGCCCTATGCAACTTTTTTAAAATTTTTATTTTATTGTACAGAATTAATTTAAGACATTTGGTTTAATTCCTATGTGGATATTTAACTTGTTTCTTTTTTTTTTAATTTTGTCGATATACAATGTGGTTGATTATTGTGGCCCATTACTGAGGTTTCGGAGGCAACTTGTTTTGATGTGTGGACTTGAGCCATCAGGGGAAAGGACAGTCATTGATATGCATGGATCTGCCACTTTGCCACAAGGTCTTCCTCCATGGACAGTTCCTAACTCACAGGGGTTGCTATCAAGATGGCATGAGAAAATGAATGTGAAAGCTTACCTAAGCTGCTAACAGTAAACATCAATAAATGCTTTAGTTACTATTCTTATTGGTGGTGCCTCTGGCCATATTCCTCTACTGTAGTTATAACTCAGCTTGGTTAACTTGCTCAGTTTTGCCTCCTGGCCACACTGACAGCAGAAAGGAAAAGCCCCTCAATGAGGGGCAGCAGATATGAGAAGCAATGAGGTATAGAGTCAATGGTGCAGGCTCTAAAGCCAAACTCCCTTGGTTTTTGAATCCTGGCTCTGATGTTCTTCAGCTGGATGATCTTAGGTAGGTTATTAAATTCTTTGTATCTCAGTAAAATAAGAATTAAGAATACTAATTAAATAGGCTTGCTGTAAAGATTAAATGAGTTAATATACACAAAATGTTTAAAAGAGAGTCTAGCATATAAGTCCTCAATAATTAGCTAAGACTATTATACCATTACTGCTATTGTTACTATCATCATCATTATTACTATCATATCTATTATTAATATAATTAGTTAAGTGAAACAACACTCTTCTATGAGCATCAATCCATAGTCTGGATGCCCTCCTTGTAAAGTGAATCAGGAGGCCAAACTGCCTACTCACCATAGGAAATAGAGTCCCCATGGGCTATTTCCTTGAAGAGACCAGAAACATCAAGGTCAGGCACTCCAAGGGAAGCCTGTAGAATGGTGGAAAACTCATCCTCTGTTATGTAGCCATCCTCATCAAGATCAAAGAGCTGAAGGAAAAAAAAAAAAGTGTGAATTAGCTCCCTCAGAGCAACACTGGTATAGAATAACCTTGGAAAATAAACTCTTTAATAATTCAAACATTTATTGTGCCAGGGGCTAGGGATATTTATATAAAGAAAATATGGATTCTGCTATCTTCACAACACCTATACTTTAGTAGTGGAAAGAGACAGAATTAAAATAAGGGTTATACCAATAGTAAGTACAAAGGGACATGGGAGCCCTATGGGGACCATGATGAGTCCTACCCACAGAGGTCAGAGAAAGCTTTACAGAGGAGCTGACATTTAAGTTGGGTCTTAGAACACCAGGAGATATACATAACATACAAAGAATGGCAGGTGACTGCCTGGGGCTCAAGTCAGTAGACTGAGGGACAAGCAGGAATCAGATCATGGTAGGTATGTAATGTCTCACCTGATCCTGTAGAATTATGATGGGAGGAGAAGTGATGTGATCATATGTGAACTGAGAGAACTCTTTGAGGCAGAGGGTAGAGGATGAATTGGGAGCAGGAGGTTGCTAAGACTAGGGGTAGGAAAACCAATTAAAAGTCCTGGTAGAGAAGCAGGAAAGACAGGAATAGACAGAATTTATAAAACAGCACAGACAGTACTTGCATATCAGTAAGAGGTCTGTAGTGTTGGAAAGGAAGAAGCCAAAGATGGCTGAAGTTTTCCAGCTTGCGCAACTGGGTGAAGCTGTTTACATTAACCAAGAATGGGCAAACAGTCAGAAGAACAAGTGCCAGACGAGATCAAGAGTTAGACCTGGATGGGTTAAATTTGAGTCAGAGGTACCAGGAGTAAGTAAGAGATTCAGCATATCAGTTTAGGAGACTGATGAGGCTTGAGCTATGAATTGAGATAAGAAGTGAAACTATGGGGTGTGTTTGAGCTAATCTGTAGAGAATATACTAAGTAAGACAGAGCCCTGGGAACAGCAAGAGTTGAGGTGTGTGTGCAGGGAAAAGGAACTGATAGAGAAGACTTAGAAGGAGCAGTCAGACAGGAGAAACAGGAAAGAAGAGCATGAATCTTAGATGCTAAGGGAGGGTTTTCAGTAAAGAGGAAGAGATTCTGATGGTGGTAACAGCCAACAGAGTAAAATGCCATAGGAAGGCCAAGCAAGAAGCAGACAGGTTTGCTGGATTTGGTGATTTGGAGATCCTGATGACTTTAGTAAACACAGTTTCAGGATAGAAGCCAGATGGTTATGGGAATCAAGGGATGAATATAAGTGAAAGGTGGAGACAAGAGATTGGACTCTAAAGAAATTATGGAATAAAGGGAAGGAGATTATGATGGAAGGGGAAGTGGCATGATCATTTGTGAACTGGGGGGACTCTTTCAGGCAGAGTGTGGAGGATGAAACGGGGTAGTAGCTAAGCACAAAAGGAGGTTGTCTTTGAGAAGGGAGAGACTGAATATGCTTACAGGTGGAGGGGGAAAGGCAGTAGAGTGGGATAAATTAAAAGTCAAGCAGCAAAGCAGGGATAACTGCTAGATAGTTAATATTCCATATTCAAAATCCTCTCCTGGGTCTTTAGAATTTTTAATGATATCAGCACTTACTCTTTATAGGCCCTGATCAAGTGTTCAGATCACTTTACATGTATGAACTCACTTAACCCGCACAATAGTCTTATGTCAGGTTGGTACCATGGTCAGCCCAATCTCACAGATGAGAAAGCTGAGGCACCAGGAAGTCAGGTAACTTTTCCCAAGATCACACAACTTGTGAGTGGTAGAGCTGGCACCCAAATCCAGGCAGATAATATTTAGAGTTCCTGCTGTTGAGGTCTTTACTTCTGACCAAATACAACTTCAAAAACAGAGGAAAAACAGGTATTAGTTAAGGTGTGATAATCATGAAAAGAATAATAAGCAAATATTGAATAGTGTTTCAATTGTCATGAGGGTAGGAGGAAAAAATACAACATGAAGTTCAGATTTATTGCCCCCAGCAGAGAAAGCACTGGCCTCCAGTGCATTTCTACCACTCGGCCCCTTGAGGGATAAGATAGTTGGAAAGCAAAAAGTAAATTAGCTTCTGTTTTCACAAACTATAGACCGCGGGTTTTTATGCACCTTGGACTTCAAAAGGAAACTGCCAGGTTTCAGTCACACTCTCTCTCACAGGCTCTAAGATTTCTTCAAAGGCCTTCCATTCCTAAACAATTCTCACCGACTCATCTTCGTCGAAAGTCTTGCCATATTTTGTGCTTTCGTGGCTCTCTGTGTAAGTTCCCTTCACATGGTCCATACTGGAGACTTTTACTTCCTCTACATCTGTCCCTTGCCACAACTACCTCAGATTACTCCCGTCACTTACTTGTCACTCTCAATAGTCTCCCTGTTACAAAGTTCCCAGATCTATGATAAACCCCATGATCTGGGCTCTGGTAGAAAGTTTAACACCCCAGTTTCCTTTGGGGAAATAACAACTCCCCATTGCACAGAAGACTATGGGATTCTTAATGGAAATGTTCTGTCTTTCCTATCAAGCACATAGCCCAAGACCATTTACACCCTCCCTGAAATGTGAATTATGAACAGAGTTGGAGTTTGCTCTCATTTTAACTGCAGTGCCCAAGGGAGGATGTAGGGCACTTCCTGCAGCCAGGACCTCGGGAGCTGCCTGGTTCTGAGTTTTCTCTTGAGCCTACTCTTTGGCCTTCCAACTAATTCTACTTTGGCATCCGTCAGTCAGAGTCTACCCTATTGCTTGCAACTGAAGAACCCTGACTAATATTATACTAATATTATACCTCTATTACTGTGAAGGTGAAATGAGATAAAAGATGAGAAGTTAACTATGCAATGCTACCCAAAGAAAAGGATGTGAAAGGATCCTATATGTAAAAAGATACTACTAAATGAAAAATAAAGGTATGCAGTAATATTTCCAAAACATAAAACACACCTGAAAAGGAAAGTTAAAAAAATAACCAATGTAAAACATAACCCTTGCCAAACTGAAAAAAAGGGCTAATTATAGTTTTAAGCCCTTCTTTCTTCCCGTCCCTATCTCCAAACCAAGGTCTAGGCTAGATAAAAATCTTACAACTTTTTTAAAAACTATAATTACTGTGATTAAGAGCCAAATTTTCCATCAGGTCTTTCATTTGTAAACCAAAAGTGATGGTTTGCCCAACTAAACTTATAATTACACAAACAATCCCAAAACAGAAACAGAAATATCTGGATTGGAATAAGTTAGCTATGTGTGTAATTTTAGGTTTTCTGATGAATAATTCTGAAAAAGCTAAAGGTTTTAAACGCTGGAAAAAGATCTGCCCCTTGCCTTATAACCATCTGCTAAGCATCAACCACTTAGGTTCTTTATAGGCCTAGCAGTTAACTCAGTTTAAACCCATCTAAAATAAAATGTAAACTCAGGGACTCTTCTGTCAATGATAGAGCACATGAAAATTCCTGAGGCAATCCCTGGTGGCCTTTAAAATGTGAGAAGGAACTCTTGGAGGAAGAGAGTCTTCCTAGATCACAAGGGAAAAAAAAAAACAACACAAAAACTCGTTGGAGTCACAGCGGGATATTCTTTAAGAAACTCAGGAAGAGATAAGAGTAGGAAACAGGAATAGAGAAGGTCCTTAGCTCTCCTGCTGGATGAATTAAAGAGACTAAGTGGCTGCATAACAAGAGTCAATATACATAGCTTGGTAGGACAAGAAGGAAGATCAAGTTTCTGTTTTACTTGACAGCTGTCCATACAAGCTCAGAACTGAAAGAGAACATCATATTTCAGTTCTAATTAGATGAAGCACCTTTATTCTCAGAACTGAACACGCTCTTTGGGAATGTATTCTTTACTCCTTTTGTACTTATAAATGGTCAATGGAGTCTGGCCCTCACAATTAAAACTTTCATCAAGCTCTGCTGGTGACCAGGGACATGGATTTTATTCATCTGCTCCCAATTTAGATCCCTGTATTGCTGTGAAAATATATGTGATACCACAGGAAGATATGTGGGTTAGAAACTTGGAACATTTATGATGGTGTTCACCTGACACACAACGACAAAATAAATTCCTTCAGGAAAATACCACTTAAAATATCTCTGACATACAGAATGAGATAATAAGGATAGATCAGAACTTTCCAGATAGTGAATTAGGATGACTAGTGACAGGTGGTGTTTATTCAGAAACCTCACTTGGGGGTTTCAAAATGGGGAGGCTGAAAAGAAATAATTTTTTAAGTTAATTTGTTAAATCACCAGCTCTTCAATCTTGATGCTGTTAACTAGGCTGCTTCCAAAGACTTTTTGCTTAAATAGATGCTTGTTTTCTTTATTCACAGTAGCAACTGACTTAATCATATTATTCTCCTGTACATGTCACAGCAGATCTATAAACTCATGTAACAGAATCACTGATTTTCAGAAAATACACTTAGAGTCAACACTTGTTTACAAGGCAGACCAAGATGCTTTCAGTGGGGCTGACAGTACCTTAAATGCCACCTGGATGATCTCCTCCGTGTTGGCAGGGTTGCACAAGACAGCAAGGCCAATCACATACTCTCGGAAGTCAATACTGCCATCATGGTTCTGTGAAAGGATGGAAGAAATCAATTAGGAGGACCACTAGTTGAATTTCTATTCATCATACTGCAAGGTGAAGTTCAGGTTTGTCACACAGCTCAACATCATCATGCACTGAGCCTATTTGGAGAAAAGTTCTCACTGAGATGGAACAGCCAGCAAGTGGTCCACCACTCCCAATTCAGAAGGAAGTAAAATATATTTTCTGTTTAGCAATGTATATAAACATTTTATGCCTGAGGCCATTTAGAGTGGCCCTTTGGCATCCAGTGTGGGTTCTTGAATTCAGCTTTGCCTTGATAGGAGCCCCTCTGGGAGGCAGGATGTAGGACTTTCCTAACCATTGGGACTGAGGCATTAATTCCACCATTAATGGTGGTCCTGCCATAATGGCCAATACCAAAGGGTCATTAAGAGTCCTAAAGTGTTACTAAGCATGTAGAAAATAAAAGAGAAAGGAAAAGGGTAAACCGAGGCAAACAGAGGAAGCTACATTCTTTCTTTCTTCCAGGCATAATCTGCAGTAAACTAGGAGCAATTGGAATAAACTTGGGCAACTTTAATAGCCCCTTGGGGATATCAGGCCCCAGAAGATCCTGCACTTCTAATCCAATGAAAATGAAACATAACTAGTATTTATACCTCAGGAGGCATTTCATGATGGCAATACAAAAGAAGGGATTGATCATTCTAATCCAAGCTGACTAAATACAGAGTTTTCCCTATACATTAACTACTCTCCTAGACAAGAACACTGAGAGGATGAAAATGTAGGGAAAGAGACAGCTAAAAAGAAGAAAAGGGGAGAAGAGGAGAAAGGAAAAATGAAATGGAGAGTAGAAGAGAAAGGTGGAGTGAAGGAGGGAGGAAGAAAGAGAATTGTAAACAAGCACTGTGATTAGAATTCCAGGGGTTAGAAACATTTTGGCAGCAATCTCTTCAAGTGATGAATTCCCAGATAAACTATGAACTAGTAACAACAAGGCTAGTGCAGTCCTTAATGTCATAGATTAACAAATAATGTTTGGCATCAACAAGAGTCTGATCTTCAGAAGTGACTAAGTAGCTACACACCAATCAACAGTTCCTTAAAGGCTAGGGTTGCTTTCTTTGTGTGGTAGTGTATCCCATTGCCTAGCACACAGACGGATGCTAAAAAATATTACCTTTTCCTCATCTACCCTTACCTACCACTCTGGGTTCACAGAGCCTTCACTTTAAAACACTAAGGTAAGCATTCTTTTTTTTTTTTTCCTTTTTGTCTTTTTTCGTGTCCGGCAACGGATCGCAACCCTCGGTGTCACGCCTGTACCTGACCGGGACCGGCAACGGGATCGCAACCCTTGGTGTTGCACCCACACCTCACTCAGCCAGTGAGTGGGAACCGGTCTGTATGTGGGATCCGAACCCTCGGCGGGAGCGCCGCCACACTCCCAAGCGGCGCACTATAGCAGTGTGCCACTGGGCCGGCCCAAGGTAAGCATTCTTCACTGGGGTTTCATGGATGTACCTGGGGAAGGGGAAGGATGTGAAGCCCCCGAAATGGTGTGCAATTTTTGCATATACATTTTTCTAGGGAAGAATTTTGTAGCTTTTATCAGCTTCTCAAAGCAATCATGACTCAAAAAGTCAAGAATCACTTTCACCATTTTACTTAATCTTACTGCAGGGTGAAAAACTGAAAGACATAATAATTTAATTCCACCTACCCATGCGAGAAGATAGAAACAGAGGTTTCAAGATTTCTCTAAAGTAACAGGGTTTATACTTGAGACAAAAATTCAGGTCATCTGACTTCCATTTTGTCTAGTTATCAGCCTATTAGAGAGCTGTTTTTTGTGTGTTTGTTTTCTTTAATCAACTTTGAGGTATCATTTACACTCAACATAATGCATCCATTTTAAGTGTAGAGTTTGATGTGTTGTGACACATGTATATACCAAGGTAACCATCACCACAATCAGTTATCTATAACATTTCATCACCCCAGAAGTTTCAGAGAAGGCAGAGTTTTAAGGGACACAATTTCCTTCTTGTGCCATCACCATTTATTTTTCTTATGCCCTATGGAGGACTGTTTTTAATGAGTCTGAAATGTTGAGTAGCTTATTGTACCATGGCTGTATTGCTCACCATAGACAAATTTCTTCTGCAATTGGTTTTTTCCACTAAGCAGCATAGGAGTCTTGAATAGAAGTTCTGAAGAAATCGAAGAATGATCTATGGACACTAAAGTTACAATCGCAGATTGTCTATATGACTGGAAATACTCCTTTGAATTTAGGTTGTGTCTTTATTGTGAGTCATCCATATTTTATCTATACTACCAAACCTTACATATAACACAGGCCAAGCATCATAACTCACTTCACAGATGGAGAAATGAAAATGTAACAAACTCTTAATATTACCACTAGCCACTGAACAAGGTAACATATTGGACCCCTAAGTTTCATTAAGTCTTTTATATATGTGGTTTAGACTAACAAAAAAAAAATAAATTAAAGCAGACCCTTGATGATCAATCACATGAGAAACTACATGGAAGTTTTCATCCTAGTAGTGTGAAGGAAAAAAAAAAAAAAAAAGGCAGCATGGAAATTATTCTGAGAGGTTCTATTATCGGATTAATGAAACAATACATTGTTAAGGTTCCAAATTCAGAATAATAAAATTTAGAGCTGGAAAGAATCTTAGAAATCATCCATTCAACTTCATTTTTACTAATGAAAAAACTGAGACATAAGTTTCACGTTAGGTCACAAAATTCACTACTGCCATAACTTCAATTAAAATTTAGGTAATGTGACTGCCAACTATTCAAATTAAAGCAAATAGATTGATAAAATATATTAAAAACATTTAAAAATTATATAGCAATATATACTCCTTTAATTTAAAAATATTAAAAAAAAAATATTGAATCAGTTCCATGACAAAAAGTATTCCACAAATCTGTGGTTCTTTCTTTTATAAATCTATTGAGTCCCCCAGGAACAATTATGACCTTAAGATAAAAAAAACATAGAGTTGAAAATATTTCAGGGCCACATTTCAAAGGAAGGGACCGGCTATTTGGAGGGAGACCCTAATCCCTCCCATATCTATCCTAGTCTGGAGCCCAGGAGCACCCCACAGTTGGAACCAAGGAGTTGCATCGAGTCACTGCAAGAAGTGTGACTAAGGCTTACTGAATGTCCAAACTGTGGCCCCATCCCTTTCCTGGAAATCAGCAGGGCCAAAAAAGCATGAAAGTGCATGTGGGGTCACTGTGAGTTCATGGCCTCCCAGCACCTTTCCTCTGCTTAGTCACACACACTACACCAGCTTCCAGGGCTAGTGGAAAGTTCTAGGCCACTTGTTCATACACTGTCCATTTAAAATACCAGAAGGAATAAATGATGATTTTCATGTGTCTGATTCTCAAGTATCAGTTCTCTAAGGTTGTTTCATAGTTGGACTTATTCAACATTTTTATTCCTATGAAATTAGACACTCATCTTAACTTTTTAAGACTAGCAACATCTAAGGATTTGGTTTTGAATTTAAATTTCACAATGGTAAACTCCCAAGAATATTTTTTCTTTGTCGTGTTATAACTGATACAATATATCTCTGCAAATGAGAGATAAACGTGTCCTCAAAATAATTTTAAAATGTTTATATAAAACAGAACTTATTTGGCAGTAAACAACAAAAAATTCTTCAAGTCTGTGAAGATGTTCTATAAATCCAAAGGAGTATTATTCTTAAAATACAGTAAATTCTCAGTTATCTGGAAGTCAGGGAGTAGGTATTCTGTTTACCTGAATATTCTGATTAAGAGCATATTTCTACTCACATACATACTTGTATTATCAATTTTCTAGGAATTAAATTGTTTTAATATACTTAGCATGAAAAGTAAACATTTTAAAAAAGTAATTTTGAAGGTTCTTCAAGATCAAAAGGCACATTAAATATCCATATACTTCCTGAAGGTGCCTCCACAATTTTTTTTTTAGTTCCTACTAAGGGTAGTTGTGCAACACTACTAATAAGATTTCTGACTGAGATTGTGATATAAATCAACTTTTAGGAACACATGCACTACTACTCAAAAATACTTTAAAAGTGACCTTTAAGATGACATATAAATTTTGCATGTTTTTGGAAGTTTGTTGTTTTTCGGTATAGAGTACATGGTTCCTTTTTATGCTTTTACAGGTTGCAGAATTTAGTAGATTATATCAAGATAAAGTTACTCTTCAAAATCACATGGGGTATTTTGAAATTTAAAAATGTAGATGGTACAATTTCACATATTTTTAGCACTGAGTATTATTTTCAATTTATTACATTGTGTTGCTTAATGTTAGAAATTTGAAAATAATAACATGGAGTTACATGCATCAAAGACCTTCATCTAAGGCTATAAGTAGTCTTTTATATAAAAATTGATAAATTTTTAAAATTCTCTCAAGTAAATACTTACTCTTATATTGAAAATGTGACTTTAAAACATCAAATATTGAATGAAAACTAAGAAATTTAATCACTTGTTAGGCTACTGGTTCTCCACAATGCCAAAGATTTAGTTACTTGGAAAAATCCAGAGTTTGAACTGAATTTTCCAGTATGTACCCTGGTGACTGAGGTTCTTTATACGAATTTTATACAAATTCAGAAGAGAACGAAAGGAAAACTTTGGTAAATTCAGGATTTTTTTTTTTATTTGCGGCACATGCCACAAAAGAATCATGAAAGTAGTTAATCCCTCAATTTGAGAAGCAAGGGAAATTCTTAATGCCACACTCCTAGTACGAGATGATTATCTTAACTTTTATAAAACATTTACAATGGAGTGAGGAACAAAAATGTGGCTATATTGTCCTTTCCACAGCCATCATGTGGAAAGGTTAAATTATAAACTTAATATTCTGAGGCCTTAAAAGACATCTTGGCAGTTTTCCCCTTTCCTGGTTACTCTCCTACAGCCATGCCTAACATATTCCTGGGCTCATTCT